CCCCTTTCCCTCCCCCCCTTCCTTGGGCACACTCCCCCATCCTGGTCAAGGCTAACTAGCCGTGGCATGGCCACCTGGAGGAACCCTATGAGGACAGCTGCCAGGGACGGTGAGAAGCCGGGTGGCGCAATAGGCCCCCCTGTGTGTGTCCCCAAACTTCAGGGCTGCCGTCAAGTGTGGTCACTTTTCTTTCGCCTGGTTAACGCCCCCCCCTCTCTCAGAGCCCTGGAGACCTTCTTCCTGGCTCCCGGGTGGTTATTAGGGTGGTGACGCAGGGTGGTGACGATGGCCGGTGAGCAGGTGTCCTTCTGGGCCACTGGCGTCACCCACTTTGCGGAACAGGCGAAGGAGGCCGCGAGGCAGGTCGGCTTCCCAAAGCCACACAGGTGAGTCCCGCCCGGGGGGCTCCTGACGTGGTCCCCTGGATGGTGGACTTCAGGGCCCCTCGGGCTTGTCCTMGGGAAGGCCAGGCGCTGCCTACCTCCACGGGGTCGTTGCCGTTGGAGAGGATGTCCAGCAGGTCGGCCGAGGAGACAAAGTAGAACCGCGGGAAAGCCAGCCTTTTGGTCTCCAGGTACTCTGCCAACGCCTTCTCACACATGGCCAAGCTAGAGGAGCGGGACGGGGCTGGTGAGCGCCACTCSTCGGTGCCACCAGCCCACACCGCGGCAGCTGGACCCATCCTGGAGCCGTGCAGCCTGTGGCTCTCGCGTCCCTGCCGGCCGACCTCGGCCTGCCCAGACAGGAGGGCACCACCCCATCGCATGGCCGGGGCTCCCCTGGTGAAGGTGCTCACAACCCSTGGCTCTGCACCATCCCCACCGGGGCCTCTGCCACCAGAGCCCCTGGTCTGGCCGCCTGGGGACCCACCTCTTCTTCAGTGCCTCGAGTTTCTCGTAGAGACCTGGCTTGTTGGTGGCTTCCACCACGTTGGGAGTCTTCACGGCGTCCTCCATCAAGGCCTGGGGGGAGCAGGGACCCACCCAGGTGTCAGGAGGCCCCGCGTGGCCCAGGCAGCGGCTCCTGGGGATGCCCTGGAGCGGGCAGGCTGGGCTCACCTTGAATTCCTTGTCGATGTTGTCAAAGCGCTGGGAGTCCTCTGGGAGCTGGGCCCGGATGTCTTCCGAGCCTATGAAGATGCTCTCCAGGTGGCTCCAGGTCCTTTGGACCTCAAACCAGATGGAGATGACCGAGTCTGCCGTGGACAGCTTCTGCTGCCAGCTGGTCACCTCCTTGAGGAAGTGCGACAGGTACTTGGACATCATCAGGTTCTGCAGCTGCACCTGGTTGTCCTCCAGCGTCTCCACCAGCACCTCGTCCGCCTTGAGCATCATGGTGCCCGTGCGCGGGTGCGGCTCGTGCTCGAATTCCATGGTGGTCCACGTGCTGTCCAGGGCTCTCAGCACCTTTCAGGGGAACGGGACAAAGGGCACTGAGCGTGTGACAYGCAGGGCCAGGGGAGGACTCACGGTTCCCAGGACACGGCATGAGGCCAGGGCGACTGTGGTCAAGCCATTCACAGTCGCCATCGGGAGGGAGCACCCAGAGGCCCCCGCCTGCCCCTGATGAAGGGACACACCTGGGTGTCACTCTGCCTTAGGTGGGAAGGAGGAGGTGGGCCTGAGGCTGAGTGAGGGAGGCTGGGCACAAGAGGCCCTCCATGGTGAGTATGAGGACCCCACGTCCCAGGGACACCCCTCTGGCACATGGGTGATTTTGATTTAAAAACACGTTAAAGCAGGGGGTGCAAGGTCACGCTGACCTTCCCTGTGTTCCTTAAGAGCAGGAGACGAATGCCCAGGTGGAGGGTCCTCCCTGCCTCGTGCCCACACCACTGCACACGGGCATTTTACGACATTTCTGTCATGACCGGGTGAGAGAGGGCTCCTGGACGCCCCTCGCTGCCGAGGCCTCTGGATCTGGCATGAGCGGGTCAGCGCCGGCTGCCAGGCAGAACCGGCGCCGCGACAGTGGCTGCCCACCTTCTCCATGCCGGACTCCTTCACGGCCTTGTCCACGATGTTGCGGACCTCGTCCTCATAATTGTGCAGGTTCAGCTGCAGGAGGTCGGCCAGGGTCGTCTCTTCCGACATCTCGAACTTCACCTAGGGAAAAGCAGCCGTGCTCCGCCAGGGGTCGCGCCCTCCGGCAGCAGGAGGGACGCAGTGGACACGCTTTGCTCGGCCCCTCTGCCCCTCGAGGCGCCAAGCCCCGCCTTCTTTCCCTGTGGAAGCACGTGACAGCAGAGTGCACCTAGGACTCCCGGTGTGACCTTGTCTAGAAACAGGGTCTTTGTGGGTGACGAGGATCCTGGGGCCCTAAGGGAGCTGTTCACCTGCTCCCCGAGCCCTGTGGACATGCATCCTACCACGAGGATGGCTGCAAAACTTGCAGGGCCCAGTGCAGAACAGACCCGCGGAGCCCGCTGTTGGAAAACCACTGACTTTCAAGATGCTGAGAGCAGAGAATGAAAGCTGGTGTGGCCGCTCTGAGTGCAGGGTCCCCAGGACTGCAGGACGCCGCCCTTCCCACAGCTGACCTCAGCAGCATCAGTCCCCAACCCCTTAGCCAAGCAGCTCAGGCCAGCCAGTCCTGCAGCAGGCCAGCTGCCAGGGGCCGTCCCTCCACCCCATGGCGACAGTGGTACCTGGGTGGCCTGCATGAGCTGCTGCCAGTGGCGGTCTCGGATGGCGGGGTTCTGTAGCTCGCTCACGGCGCGCAGGGAGGTGATGGTGTTTTTCACGGTGTTGTCCAGCCCCACGAAGGCATCCCAGGTTTTCATCTCCTTGTCCAGAGACCTGATGTCCTTGGCAAACTTCTTGCAGTCGATGTCCATCTGCTCCACGTTGATGTCTTTCCACTTGGTGGTCTTCCAGTCGTCCAGGCAGGTGCTCACCTGCAATGGGAGCCTGGCTTCAGCTCCTCTCTCGAGGGACGCCTGGGGGGCACCTCCGTCACCTCCCTGCACTTGCTGTTAGGGAGCAAATTCCAGCAAAGATTTTTTTTTTTCCTGTCTTGAAGTGCTGGGGATCGAACCAAGGGCCCTGCATCTGCCACAGAGCTGCGTCCCCAGGCTCCAGTAAAGAAAGCTTAGAACTAAAACCAGAGTTTGAGAAAGTGGTTAGATGCAAACAACAACAACAAACCCCCACCCAGYCGTATCATAAAAGCTGAAATTTAAAAGTTGGTCATTAGAATGTATTTTGGCAAAAACCTGTGTTGGGGCCTTGCGATCCAGCTTCCTCTTACTTCTGAGAAGGACCATGTAACTTGCCTTGGCCAGGAAATGTGAGCCGTCCTGAACTTCAAGGCAGAAGGTCTTAATCGGCCATACTTGGCTTGGCGTTCTCTGCCTGCCTTGGCCATCACCAAAGTGCACCATTGATTCACAGCCTGGAATTCRGAGCCAGCTGGCCCTTGACAGACAGCTGCCCCAGGGACAGCTGCTTGGAAGGAGGGTGTGGAGTTCACATGAATGAGAATGTACTTTTGTTGTTTGATACATAGGGATTTGTAGGGCTGTTTGTTACTGCACAGTAACCTAGCCTATACTGACTGATGAAAATATCTTAGAAGAAAGTTCATTCTTGACAATATGAAACAAAATAAGTAAAACCACCTGAAGAAAGCCCTACCAAGAGGGTTAACAGAAGATTATGAACCCTGCATTCTGAAACCTGGGGTGGGTTGAAGTTGATTATGAAGCTGGAAACCACTAGTCAGTGGAATCAGAGATTGATGATACGGGTGCCTGAGGCGGGAAGGCCCGGCTTGCCCCGCATCCATGTTCCTTGAAGGCCAAACTGGGACTGTCTGCAGGATGCTTGCCCTGAAGGCACCGAGTGCCAGCCCTCCCTCCACCCAGCGGGTTCAGGCTAGTGCTGCATCCTGTGACCCCGCGATGTCCTGGCTCATTCTTTCTGGAGAACCCGTTAATATTTACAGTCATCTCCTGGAGAGCRCCCCTCTGCTGTCTCCCTGGGCTGGAGGGCTTCATGAGGGGACAGGGCAGTGTCCCTTTCTCGCTGGCCGCAGCCGCTCACGAGGAAGAGGCTCGAGGTCACTTAGTGGTGAAGGAGGGTCCAGGGGCCTGGATTCGCACCCTCTCTTTAGGCCTGAYGGCCACAAAGCCCCTGACTCCAGGGACCCTCCTGCATGATGAGAATGGAGGCGCCTGTGACCGTTGACTGTGGTGTTTGTCAAAAAGGAAAGAAAGGAAGAGGCAGAGCAGGAGGGGGGTCTCGCCGCGGGGCTGGCAGAGTTGGCCCATCTCCTGTCCAGCCGCCTGTGGGAGGAGCGGAGGGTTTGGTGACTGATTCTAAAGGTCATCAGAAGGATGAGAGGAGAGCTCCCATACTTGTGAAAACAGATGAGCAAAGAGGAGAGAGAATGGCGGAAGCCCACGCGCATACACACGCGGAGAACACGGAGAACGCGTGGGCCGACTCCCTCGCCTGCTGAGTCTCGCCTCACCGCGGCCTTCCTGCTGCCCATCAGCCCACAGAGCTGCCACCGGAGATCCCACCTGGACCCGCTCCAGTGGCGGGTTTCCAGGCTCCTGCATGGCCTCTCCCCCTCCCAAATACCACCCCTCCCCAGCCGCACTAAATCCCCCTCCCCTGCACCCCATGAAAAAGGCTGTTCATGGTTTTTAACAAGTTGCCCGTTTCCCCAGTTCTCCCCAGATGCAGCATCCCTGCGGGTTCCCTTCCCGTCAGAGAGCTGAGAGCCCCCGGGCCTGCCAGGGCAGACAAGCAGTGAGAGGAGGTCGCCGAGGTGGGTCCCCATGCCACCAGAGGGCAGGCCACTTCCCTGGCCGCTCTGGGGCATGAGACCCAGGGGGCCGACAGGCAGCTTCTCTGCGGGAGGAGGGTGAGAAAAAGGGTGGGGGACTTTACTGGAGTTTAATACGGGGAGCTCAAGGACGGCTGGGGACGCAGGAAGTCGCACACAACTCAGTAGGGAAGAAGTCCCCCTGCCACCTCTGCTCCTGTGTGGCGGAGTGGCCCTGAGGGGTAAGGGAGTTAAAGGAACCACGCTGTTAGGAGGACTGAGGCGCGTCTGGGGACAGACACCTAGAGATGAAGCACTCGCCTGGCTCTAGATAGACTATAGACTAAGTCCTACAACCTCATGAATCGACACAGAAAGCACATTTGAAAAGATGCAGGACCTATTCATGATGAACACTGAAAATAGCAGGGACAGAGAAGAACTTTCACGACTTAAAGAATTACAGCTAACGCCACACATGATAGTAAAGTGCTTTCCCTAGGGCTGGGAATTATGCAAGAATGTTTGAACCCACCACTCTTAGGCAACATAGCACAGGAAGCTCCGGACACCACAAAAAGGCAAGAAAAAGAAATAGGAAGCCATGAAAATTGGAAAAGAAAACCAAACTGTCCCTAGGTGCAGACGACATTATTGTCCATGTAGAAAATCCCCAAGGAATCTACCAAAACCCCTAGAACGGCAAAGTGAGTTCAGTAAGTTCCCAAGGTGAAGACAAACACAAGGCTTCATCCCGTTTGCATAGGCCAGATCAAAGAGGAGGGAGCAGACACTGAGGACACAGTGCCACTCACAGTCCCTTCAAAGAGAACATGAACACTGAGGTGTACACGTGACAGGACATGTAGAGGGTCTCTATGTCACAACCACAGAATGAAGATGAAAGAAATGAAACAGGAGCCAAATACATGGAGAGACATACAATGTTCAGGGAGGGGAAGGCTCGGCACAGCGGACTGATTCCAAAGTTTCCTAGAATATTGAACAGCCTTGGCAGAGAAAGTCAAGTGGGAGGACTTCCTCTGCCTGGTACCAAGCCCGGCTGGACGGGTACAGTGGTCAAGCCTGGGTGGTATGCCCAGGAACAGGCATGAAGACCAGCACAACAGAACAGAGACCCCGTCAAGAGCCCCGCTCCAATCCGCCCAGCTGAGTCAGGACAGAGGTGTGAGCCAGYTCAGGGGAGGGACGACCCACAGCCTTTCACCAACAGTCCTGGGGCTCCCACACGTCCGTAGGCCAGTCTGTGAGGGTCCACTACACCTGGGGCTCCAACCTAAGTGTAAGATGGACAACTTCTTGGAAGAAGTCACAGGAGAACGTCTTTGGGATGGAGGTAACGAACCAACCTACTGATCACCGAAGGCACAATCCATGAAGGGAAAGGCTGATAAAATAGGTCTTGTCACAGTTAAAAGCTTCTGCCCTGGGACAGGCCATTGAGAGGGTGAAAAGGTGAGCTCAGGATGGAGAGGAATCTTTGCAAACCACACATCCGACCCACGGCCAGGTTCTAGATTACACAAAAACTCTCAAAACTCAACAGTAAAAGACAAGGACAAAAAGGACCAATTAGAAAGTGGGAAAACGGATGGCAGCTCATTGCAGAGAGCGACAGGGACGGCCATGAGCACATGGGAGGGGCCCCTCGTCGTTAGTTGGTAGAAAGGCAGATGGAAGTCACAGGTCTTTCCAATAGACCCGGGGTGCCAGGATCAGGATGTCTGTGTCCCCCTGTCCCCAAACCCCAGGTTCAAGTGTTCAGACCTCACGCCGAGGCCATGGTGGGTGGGCTAATTAACCACAGGGGGCAGCCCTCCTGAGTGGGATGAGTGCCCTGAGGAAGGACTCCTGAGAGACCTGCCTCTTGCACCGTGCCGGGCACAGTGACGGTGTGCCATCTATGAGCCAGGAAGCCACCCTCACCAGACACTGAATCTGCCCTGACCTTGGACTTCCCAGCCTCTGAACAGGAAGAACTAACTGTTGTGCATGAGCACAGCATTCCACCTGGTGTGTGGCCGCTGCAGCTTGAATGGACCAAGACAAGCAGTGTTCCTTACCTTTACAACGTCTTTAAAAAGAGGTGAGACGTGAGGGAGAATGAGAGGAGGAGGAGGAGGGAGGGAGGAGGGAGGGAGGGGGAAGGGGGGAGGAGAAGGGGGAGGGGGGAGGAGGAAAGGGGGGAGGGGGAAGAGGAGGGGGGGGGAGGAGGAGGAGGAGGTGGCGGGAGGAGGCACAGCAGTAGAGAGAGGCTAGAGAATGCCCCACCCCTAAGCAGCAGGGTGCCCTAGAGGACAATCCAACCCAGGGACCCGGAGACCAGCTGCCGGCCCGGGCAGCCCCACGTGGAGCCCCCCCCCTTGGTGTCCCTGGGCCTGCCTCCTCTGCCACTCACCATGACGATCATGTCCCAGAGCTCCTTCAGCAGGCGGACCTCCTTGTGGCAGGCTTTGAGTGGCTTGTAGTCAGGGACAGTGACCTCAAACAGACTCCCGGATTTGCACAGCGCCTCCATGATGTCCTCCATGGCCGCGATGCTCTTTTGTTGCTGGGGAGGGAGGGGCCAGCGGGGGCTGTCAGGGGCCGGTGCCAGCCCCCTGTCCTGCCCCTCTCCTCCACCGTGTCCTGACACTGTCCTCCAGTGTCCTCCGGACAGCGCTCCACTCAGGGCCCCAGCAGACAATGTGCTCCGCTGCGAGCCCTGGCCCTTGCTCTGGAGTGCAGGAAGGGGCCACCTCGGCAGGCCTGGCCCGGGCATTAGGCCATCCGTGCAGGTGCCTGGTCTCTGAATTCAGAGGTCCCCTCTGACTTCCCATACTGTGTTTTTATCTTATTAAAAAGGACGCACTGATGCTGGCTGGCTCTGACAGTCAGAAGGTCCAGGTAGGCCAGGGAGGAGAAAGACTGCCCCAGACCCTGGCACCAAGTGCCGACCGTCTTCGCCAGCCTCCACGCCCGCGGGTTTTCACCCTGGGATTCAACCAAGTGCAGACTGAAGATATTCGCAAAAAAGAGAGAGAACCTGGACCTTCACTGACCGGGTCCAGACTGACTTTTTCCTGGTCAGTTCTCTAACTACTGCAGTGTGACGACTATTTGAAGGCATTTACAACGCATCTGGTTGATCACTAGTCTAGAGGTGACTTACGGGGGTGTGCGTGGGTTCTGTGCAAACACTGCAGGTTCCTACGAGGGACTTGGCCTTGTTGAATCTGGCATCCACAGGCCCTGGAACCCATCCCCCTGGGTACTGAGGGACGATCGTTTGTGTGTGTGTGTGTGTGTGTGTGTGTGTGTGTGTGTGTCCGCCACACATCTGCACGGTGCACAGCTCCATGGGACAGGTAGGGACAAAGCGGGTTCCTGAACATGGGCACACACCTGCACAGCCTTCCTGGCACATGCATGTCAGGGCCCAGCCTGCCCTGTCACTCACTGGAGGCCATGGCTTTGATCACATGGCTGTCCCCTCCCCCACATCTCTCCAGTGAGCTCCGCCTGGGCCCTGCAGATGGACCGCTCTGGGGGTCGGAGGGAAAGAGTGTGAGCAGACGCCAGGAGGAGGGAGCGCCCCAGCCCTCTGGAAGGATGGGCCTCAGAGCTGGGCAGCACAAGAGCAGAGCTCAGGGCAGGGGAGGCGAGGTGACCACTGGACATCTTGGCGTTCGTGTCTGCTGTAGCTCGAGTTGCTGCTGAGCGAGGCAGCCGTCTGGGCCCTGGGCACCAGGCTGGGAGCAGAGGGACTGGCAGGGTTGCTGCTCTGCTCAGGGGCACCCCAGGCCCTGTGCACCTGACCTGCTCTGGCCCACAGAGCCCCAGTCTGAGTGGGTAGCCAGCTCCATGGACCTGTGAACTTCTACAGTGGACACTGACCATGGACTTGGGCAGTGGGAATGCAGTGGGGACATGTAGGAATCCTGGCATCTGGCTGGACACGGTGGGCCAGAGCGAGGAAGGGGTCAGGGATGGAAGGCGAGTGTTAGGCCCAGGTGACGAGGCCCAGCATGGGACAGACACGGGACCAGCAAGGTGATGCCAGGCTGAGGGACAGCAGGTCTGTGAGGCGGCCTGGGGCACGGGCCTGAAGCACAGCTGTAGGCACTGCCACACAGCGTGGGGGCCTGTGGGGGGGCACGCCCGAGTTTGCATGTCCACATGCACATGTATGCACAATCGTGTACACACGCACACACCTACACTCATGTACACATGCACACACATGTCCACACGCGCACACACCTACATACATGCACACATACATGCACACGCATACACACGTACACCCATGCACACCCATGCACACCCATGCACACTCGCGTGCATGGCCCCGAGGCAGGCCCTGCTGAGGCTCTTTCTGGACGTGCAGGAGTGCCAGCTGGAGGAGGGCTGGGGCTGGTCCAGGCCCGCAGCCGGCTCCCGGTGCACCTACCTTGTTGAGGGCCTTGTAGGGCTCGGGGCTGCTGAAGGAGAAGGGGGCCTCTCTGCGGAACTTCTCCCTGAACTCCTGCTGCTTGATCTGCAGGAGAGCGGTGCAGAGACGTGCTGGCCCAGGCCCACCCCAGCCTGGTATCCCCGAGGGGGCCACAGCCACTCTGCCCCCGCCCCAGCGCGGCCCTGACCCCGTCACCCTACCTCGAATTGCTGGCACTTGCGCCGCAGGATGCTGACCTCGTTGGCCTGCAGGGGGGCCACGTTCTGCTTCACCTGGATGGCCAGCTTCTTGGTGTTGGCCCACTGCTCGGGCAGCTCCTGTGGGGCGAGGGCAGGGGGTCTTTTCCTTTTCCTTTTTTCTAAACTTGCTGTTGTGAGATGATCTCTGACACATGAGAAGCTGCATAAGCGGCCCCGTGGACACCCTTGGCCATGGCGAGCCAGGACGCTGGGCCGTGCACTCTGCTGCCCGGGTGTCGGAGCCTCCCCTCCCCTCCCCCTTCCTATCTGAATCACATGCACACGCGTGTGTGTGAGCATGCGTGTTTGGGGGTGTGTGGTCCTCTGCAGTCTTGCCCCAGGTGGCGATCTGGGTGACCACCACCATCAAGGTAGGACTTACCCATCCCCTCTCACCTGCGGCCTGGCACCCAGGAAGCTGCCCTCCTTCACCACCCCACCCCTCCAGGATGGCTGTTCTCTGTCCTGGGCAAACGCTGCCCTTATCACCATCAAAGGTTTTAAAGGAAGCAAGCAGATTCCTGGCCTGTGAACTCTGCCTACAAACGGAGGGCCGCCCTGCTTCCCAGGTGGACCAACTTGGGGTCTGCTGCAGCAGGGGCTCTGGCACTGCCCTCACATCCAGTGGCCCCACGCGTGGCCTAGGAGCCCCGCGGGGCTGACCAAGTGCTCCCATTCACCAGGTCCCGGAGGGCCTAGGACATGATGGCAGAGCACCACTTGTGGTCCCAACCTGACAGGCCCATGGCAGGCTCCCAGCAGCACAGGGTAGCCCTGGCCACCAACCCCAGGGGGCTACAGGGTCCTTCCCCTGTGGCTCCTGGGAGCAGGCCTCGGCACAGCAGAGTTTTTGCCTGGTGGACGGGACATAGAGAAGAGAGAGAGAAGAGACACAGGCAGGCTGGGAAGGCTGGTGTCCTTAGTGGCCTCGGAGGAGGCTGGGCAGTGCCTCCCACACCTTCTTTGATGCTGACAACTGACCACCACTCCATGGGCTGTAAAGTGCTGTGTGAGGGCAGCTTCTGTCCCCGCTCCCTGACCACCTCCTCTCCAGGGGTCCTCTGTGACCTCGGTCTCCCCCTACCTCCTTGATGGTGGACCCAGTGTCAGGAGAAGGTGTGGGACCCCTGGACCCTGGAGGTCGCCCCAGAGCCCTGACCTCCAGGAAGCCTCCTCTTTCCCCAGGGTCTGAGTGCCCTGCCTGCTGCTCTGGGACACTGTCTCCACTGGGGCGGGCGCGGCCAGGGCCCAGGGCGCCTACCTGCAGCTTCAGGTGGGCCTCCTCGGGCAGCTCCTCCCCGTAGGTCCTGAGCAGCTCGATGGTCTGCTTCAGGGGCTCGAACATGCCGTCGGTGGCCGCCTGCCTCTCCTTGACCTTCATCAGGTGCCCCATCACCTCCACCAGCCCATCGTAGTCTCCCTCCTTGAGCGGCTTCTTCAGGCCCGACTGGGACAACTTCATGAAGGCTTCCAGGTCCGTGAGGCTGAGGGACCAGGGGGACCTCGGTGACAGGCCCCCAGCCCCGGGGCACCACACTCGACAGGGACTGGAGGCCCTCAGAGGAGCAGACAGTGGTGGGGCCCTGCCTGGAGAGGGAGGGCCGCTGGCCCCCTTGGGTCCCCTGACGTCACCCAGGCCCGGCCAATGCAGCTGGAGCTGATGTGGGAGTCCTAGCTGGGGGCGGCCGCTCAGGGGCCTTTGCTGGCCGCCGGGGTGGGCTGGTGTGGGACGCCCTCTCTGGGCAGCGTGCCCGTCACAGCCCGACTGCTGCCTGTGCTTCAGTTCCTGGGCATCGGCTGGCCGTCAGCTTTCCCTGCTGGGCTCTGGGCCCCCCAGGGTCTCCCTGGCGTCTGACGAGGACACTGTGGTGCTCCATAAACAGGGGTCAACAGCGGGGACACCACCTGCAGGAACCTGCCCTTGCTGGGGGGCTCAGGGCCCGCCCAGGATGTCCTGGCTTCCTTCCCAGCCTCCCCACCCGGGCGGGCAGCTGGGGGCGGGCCGAGGAGGGCGGGCAGCGGGGGGCGGGCCGGGCGCCTGCCCACCTGTTGATGACATAGTCGCTCAGGTACCGCTTGAACATGAGGCTCCAGCGCTTGATGGTGTTGAGCAGGGCCTGTTTGAAGGGGCGGCAGTCGCACTGCAGCCAGCCGTGGAACACCTTGGCGCTCTCGCACCTGGACACCTCCTCGTACAGCTTCTCGTACGAGTCGATCTGGAAAACCAGCCGCCGGCCGTCAAGATGCCGCCGCCCTTGACCTTGGGAGCCGGCGCTGCCTCCTGGTTGGGCTGCAGAGGGCAGCTGCCTGGCTGGCGTGCTCCCGGGGGACCCTGGTGACAAGGTGTCTTCTCCCCAGGGGGCCTTCTAGCCCCACGTTCACCCCGAGAAGGGGGTGGCCTGTCGGGACAGAGTCAGATACACCTGGGGCAGGCAGGGCCGGGAGCTGCAGAGGTGGTTACAGGCTCCGAGGGACCCTGGGTGCCCTGGGGCTCTCTAACCGCACAGCTGCCACCCCCCTGAGGGCCAGGTGGCACTTGCTCACAGGCTGTCTCCTCGCTGTGCCTTGGGGTSGCCCTGGGAGGGCTCCTTGCTGGGCACGTCCCTGACCTTGTGCCTCTTGGTGCTCTGACCTCTGGGGCCTCCCGTGCTCTCCACACGGGAGGGCGCTGGGCTGCAGGCAGCCATTCCCGGGCTCTCCCAGGGCCTGGCTCTCGGGATGGGTACCCCTGCCCTGGCGGAGCACTTGCTGAGGCCTGGGTTGATCCCCAACACCACACAGGCACACTGTCCCCTGCCCTCAGCACCCCAGGGCGGCCCCAGCCACTCAAGACAGCCACCGAAGCCCTGGGCCTGTAGGGGGACGATGCTGGCCAGCCTTGGGCCTGCCTGTGGGGGGACGATGCTGGCCAGCCCTGGGCCTGCCTGTGGGGAGACGATGCTGGCCAGCCCTGGGCCTGCCTGTGGGGGGACCATGCTGGCCAGCCCTGGGCCTGCCTGTGGGGAGACGATGCTGGCCAGCCCTGGGCCTGCCTGTGGGGGGACGATGCTGGCCAGCCCTGGGCCTGCCTGTGGGGGGACGATGCTGGCCAGCCCTGAGCCTGTGTGGGGATGATGCCGGCCAGCCCTGGGCCTGCCTGTGGGGGGACGATGCTGGCCAGCCCTGGGCCTGCCTGTGGGGAGACGATGCTGGCCAGCCCTGGGCCTGCCTGTGGGGAGACGATGCTGGCCAGCCCTGGGCCTGCCTGTGGGGGGACGATGCTGGCCAGCTCTGGGCCTGCCGACTGCTGGGTCCTTCCCCAGCCTGCAGCAGGGCTTCTGCCCATGTGACCCGTGCTTCCCCACCTCCCAACCTGCCCTGGGGCCTGGGGCCTGGGGCCTGCGTGGTGCGCCCACCCCTCCTCTGCACAGTTCCCTCTTGGTGGTGACTGTCCCCTGATCTAGGGGCCTCAGCAGACCCGAACAACAGCGAGACCATGTCTTCAAGGGTGACACCGGGCTTTACACCCAGCCCTGGCATCCTTGACTGGGGGACTCGGGCAGCCTGGGCACACCTGCTCCTGGAACTGCTTGAGGGCCGGCGTCGTCTTGGGCATGGTGATGTCTGTCCGAGTGTCCAGCTCCTCCGCCGTGGGCACGCGCCCGAAGATGAGGAAGTTCCGCATGAACTCCTGCAGGTCGTCCGTCCAGAGGTAGGAGTACCGCTCCATGGAGTCCTGGTACTCCTCCGCCTCCTTCATGGCGTTGATGACCAGCCCGGACAGCTCCTCCCGCATCTCGATGAGGTCCGTCTGGTCTTCCAGTTCCGTCTGAAAGCGGGCGGGCGAGGCCGGGGGTGAGCCGCCTGCCCGCCCGCGGTTCTGACAGATGCTCCCTCCCTGCCTTGGAAGCAGCTGTGGGTGGGGCAGTGGCGCCCAGCTCCCACCGCAGGGGACGGGTCTGACGCCGGCGCCTTCTCTTGGGAGACTTGCCAGTGTGGTTTCTGCCCCCAGGACCTGGATGACTCCCACGTCAATTCCCTCCTTCCATTCTACTCAGCCCTTGCCGTGTGCCCTGTGCTAGGGTGGACACGAGGCAAAGGAGGGCCCGCATGTGGTGTGCTGTCCAGGTGCAGGGACAGACTTCCATCAAAGAAGCACAGAAACAACACCTGCGGGCTCTGACCCTTGCTCTAAGGTGTGATGCGGAGGAGGCCAGGGAGTGCCCCTGAGAAATGACCGTTGGGAGGAGAGCTGATGGCAGGCAGGCAGAGAGCCAGCAACCACCCGGCACGTGCCAGGGCCCTGTGGTGCGAAGAAGCAGAGTGGGGAGTGGAAAGCCGTCTACCCCTGGAGCCTGGAGCAGGGCTCAGGAGGCCTGTGCTGGACTGGATCTTTTCAGTTTTAAGTGACAGATCCCACTCAAGTGGTGTGCAAAAAGAGAACGTTTGGATCACGTGATTAGTGAGTCCCAAGGTGGTGCGTGTGTTCGTGGACCAGGTTTTATTTTCTGTCCCTTCTGGTGTCCTGCAGTGTCACGACCTCGCTGGTGGAGAGAGGCTTCCTCCGGGAGCAGTTCCTACAGCCACCGAGGCACGGCCTGGAGTGGTCTGTCCTGAGCCCACGGGCCCGTCCTCAGTCTGTCCTCGGGGGTGAAGCTCCACCTGGGCCCCAGGGTGGGTAGGGGGGCCCCAGGGTGCATGTCTCAGCTTTGGGGCACCCGTCTTGGGTCTGCTTCTCAGTGACTCTGTTGGTCCCCGGCTACACCTGAGCCCAGCACTGTGGACCCCACTGGTCAGCTGGGCCAGTGGGAGCTCCCTCCAGCCGCCAGGTGGCGCCAACTCCTCAGACAGACAGGCTTCTCCCTCCTACCAGTCCCCCTGCAGGGCCATCGTCCCCTAGGTCCCTAGGACTTTAGACTGGCAGCCTGGACCCCACCAGGCTCTCAGCTCCAAGGTCTCCTGCTCCGTCCCGTCTGCCCTCACCCCAACTCCTCTAGGCTGTCCCATCAGAAGCACCCCTGGGATTCTCCGCCACCCAGGCCTGGGTGCCTGGGCCTCTGGCTGTGGGTGCCTGAGCCTGCGCCACCTGCCAACCGTGTGGCACAGGCCAGACTCAGGCTGTCTGTGCCCCTAGCTGGCAGGCTTTGAGAGACCCTTGGCACACAGAGCCCTTCAGTTCTGCAACGTCCCGTCCTGTTGTCCCCAGTGGGTCTCTGGGACACCCTGTGTTTGGGTGCCATAAGAGCCCTGGGTGGGGGCGGCTAGCTCTGTCCACCACGGCTACTGGTCTGGGGAAACTCGGGTGGGGGTGGAGGGCAGCCCCCAGGCACCCCACCTCCAAGGGCACTGGCTTGTCTCGTGTGTGCCAAACTGTGGCGAGCCATTCTGAACTCTGGGACAGGTTGCTGGGCTCACGGGGGACAGGCATGCCACCTTTCTGTGACTCAGAAGTCACAAGCCCGACTCCGTCGGGAAGAGTTCTCAGCTGCACGTGGTAGAAGGTGCCCGAGACCTTCCCGGGAGTCAGCGCTGTCCTCCTGTGTCCCCACTCACCTCACCACACAGGCAAAAACGCACACGCGCTTTCACACACACCAGCACACACCAGACTGGAAATGCCCGAGTGCGGGGCGATCCCCAGAGTGGACCCACGGGCAGTGGAGACCACATTCCCCACATCCGGCTGGGAGTGCCACCCAGGGGACCAGAGGCCCCTGGGGAAGGACAGATTCAGGGGAGGGAGAGAGAGAGAGGGAGAGAGAGTCTGCAGTCCTGGGGACTCAGGGCCACTGCTGTCACTGTGCCGAGCTGGGGGCTGCCCACACAGGGAGAGGGCAGGCCACAGTCGGCCAGGACTGACCTTGTAGTTCACCTTGCCCTTGGCCAGCCGGGGGATGAGTCTGGCCACGTTGTAGATGTCATTGACCAGGCCCTCGATGAGGGCCAGGAAGCCACGCTCAGAGCCCACCTCCAGCGACGGGTTGAAGGTCAGCCCTTCATCGTTCAGCTCCATGTGGATCTCAAACAGGGGCGCCACACTCTCCTGAAACAAGGGGTCGCGGTCAGGGCCGTGGCTCTCCCAGCACCGTCCTGGGCACTGTCCGAGGTGAGGTTGAGGGAGTGCCCTTCTCAATAGGGGACAAGCGCAGGCCCAGGGACCGACACCTCAGGAGCAGGCTGTGTGGGGAGGCGGTGCCTGGGGAGACGGTCACTTGGCCCCAGGCCCACAGCTGCTGACCATCCGCTGTGTGGCCTCGAGAAGGTCACTTAAGCTTCAGTTTCCATGAATGTATAAAGCAAGGGTCATCAGTGTGGAGGGTGGGGACAGCCGATGCTCCGTCTCCAGGTTACTGAGACAACCAGAGGACMCAGCCCTGCTGGCCGCCCTCACGTCCCCGGCTCCTGTTGCCAAAGCTCCCCGGTGGCCGCAGCCCTATCTGCTCCTGGAAGCCCTGGTCTGGCATCCCGTCACAGCAGAATGGACCAGGAAGTCACGGACCCGCCCCTAGGACCTGCGCTCCTCCTGCTGCCCACCGTGGCTCGAGCGTCTCAGGGCCATGCTATTCCTGAGGGTGTCGGGGGGCTCTGACCTGCCTCAGTGGCAGTCCTCAGAGTCACTTGGCAGTCACCATAATGCAGGGGAATCGGGTGGGGAGAGGGTCACCCTCTTGGAGGACCTGGGGTCGTCTCTTGGTGGAGTGAACCAGTGCTCCCTCTGGTCTGGCCTGGTTAGCACTCCGCCTAACAGGGGACGCGCAGGTTCGTGGCCAGTGTTGCTGGCAGGATCCTGGTCCCCATCAACACGTTCAGGGGATAGCAGTGCCTGCTCCGCCCCTCCTGGCCACAGGTAGGACCATTCTCTCGGATCCATTTAGGTTTTTTCCAGCTGATTGGTGCTGTTGGCAGACTGAGGTGACTGGGTATTCTGATTTTAATACGCAGATTTTTATAACTGTTGGTTTTTTTTGGTACCAGGGATTGAACCCAGGGGCACTTCACCAGTGAGTCACATCCAAGCCCTTTTAAAATATATTTTATTTAGAGGCAAGTTCTCTTAAAGTTGCTTAGGGCCTCGCTAAGTTGCTGAGGCTGGCTTTGAACTCGAGATCCTCCTGCTTTAGCCTCCCGAGATGCTGGGATTACAGGTGTGCGCCACCGCACCTGGCAAATCCGTTTATCTAGATAAAGAAACTCCACACCACGGTCTCCCAGCCAGACCTCACCTTGTGTTATGGGGAGAGCGTGTGCACACCCCCACCCTCTCACACCCACACCTCGGGCTGGTCCTGCCCTGACCACTTACATCCAAGGCCATGTTGTCCATCAGGTAATTGAGAGACTTGCGGATGAAGAACTCGAATTCCTTCAGGACCTTGGTGTCGATGTAGGAGACGTAGTCCTTCCAGGGCTGGCTTGATGTGTCTGCTCTGAACAGCTCTGTGTTTTCCTGCAACAGCGTGTTGGTGTCAGCTCAGGGTTCAGTTCAGAGGACTCCCTGGGCCACCTCCGTCCTTGTCCTCAGCGTCTCTGAGGTGCCTGACTGTGCCAGGCCGCTCCCTCCCGCTCCAGCCAGGTGTCAGGGATCAGCTTTGACACCCCCTCCCTAAGGTCCCATCTCTGCTGGGTGTCCCCCCTGTCCCCCACCGGCATCCCTCTAGCCATCTGCTCATTCCCACAGTGGCACAGACGGCCACTCTAAACGGTTCTGTGCTTGGTCGGCATCCACTTTGAGGCCCAGCTTGAGAAGAGCAGGGTTGGCTGTTCTCTCCAGCACCACCCCCCGGACCTGGCGGTGTGCACGGGTCAGCAGGAGCTGAGGGAGGTGGGTGGGCAGGGCTGGGGTTGATGGACAGAAGGACAGGCAGTCCAGCTGAGTCGTTCCCTGGGGCAGCAGCCCTCAGAGCCACAAGGAAGAGACACCAGAAGAGCCACACGGGCCATCCTCCCAGGGGACCGGTGGGGGTCTGCATGTGACCTGCCATCAGAGCCCACACCGTTAATCTGCACACTGCCCTGGGGAGCCCCAAGCTGCCCCCATACTGTCTGGAACTCCAGGAGGGAATTCTCTTTTCCAGCTGATGCAAAGCCCCAGTTTTCATGGCTCCCCCACCCCTGCCTGGTGCCCAGGCGGAGCGTCCCGTGTGCCTGTGTCACCCCCTCGCATGGCTTTAACTGTGCTGGCTGGAAGCACCTCGTGCCTGTTCTGCTGCCCACCCTCACAGATAGGAAACCTGGGGATGCAGCCTGACCCTGGAGAACAGGCTGGTGCAGAAGGGAGGTCACTTCCCTGTGCCAGTTCTGTGCAGGGCGGGAATGGGTTCCGATCCCCTGGACAGAGGAGGGCGGACACACCAAGAGTCAGGCTTCCCAGCCCAGAGCCCCAAGGCCGGCTGTCCTAAGGAAAGTCTGTCTTAGGTTAAGGACAGGGGGTCTGCACACTGCCCTGGGGAGCCCCTGGGGCTGCGGTGGCACTGACGGCGGGTGCTGCCCGCGTTATGAGCTCTCCACCTCTGCCTTCTCTCCCGCCCTCTGTGGGACCAGTGGCTCCCCAGGACCTCGCGCTCACCGTGACCATGGCTTGGATCTTGGCGCCGGCCTCCTTGACGGCCGTGTAGCGCTTGTTCAGGTTGACCGTCCTCCCGTCCAGGTCCAGCAGAGCCTCTTTCTTGTTGTCCTTTCTCTCAAACAGGGGGTTGGCCGACCAGTCCTGGAGGGAGGGCGAGAGGGCGCAGGACCTGGAGAGGCTGTGACTGCCCCCCTTGGCAGCTCCAGGGGAGCCCAGGGCTCCTGAGAGTCCGGCCCGCGGCTCACGGGAGGCAGAGTGCTGCAGACGCTGTATTGGGCCATGGCCTGTTCCTGAGGGCCAGAGCCTGTCCCATCCCTCTCTCTAGTGCCAGCCCAGCACCGTCGGCCTGCAYCCCTCTGCTGAGCTCAGCACTTGGGAACAGAATCCAGTTCCAGGGTGACATGCTACACGTCCAGGGCGTTTCACAGCAGGGTCCCGTGCTTTCTGCCGCATGTGGCCCTGGCCCCGGGCCTCCCTGCGCGCCCTGTCTCCTTCCCGGGTTCTGCCCTCGGGTCCGCTCACCTTCATGGCCTGGGAAATCCCTTCAATGTTCTGCTTCGCCCTCTGCATCCTGTTCTGCAGGTCGTGGAGAACCTCCCGCATCTCTTGGATGTACTGGAACACGTCTGAAGACAGCAGACAGCAGTGTGACGGGAACGGCTCCCCAAGCCCGTCTCCTACTCAGCAGAGGAGAGCAGCCGACTGCCTTCCCCCCAGAACCCAGGACTCCTGGGTTGCAGCCCGGCCCTGGGCTCCGGCCCCTCCAGCCACGAGCAGAATCCCAGAGACCTGAGCCTCCTGACAGAGCCGCCTGGGCCGGGGCAGCCGGGGAAGAGGTGTGCCCTTCCTCTATCTCCAGGCCGCCTGCAGCGGGCTGAGACGTGTTGGTGGGCTTGTTCTCTCTCCCCCGACAATCCCCAAGAGGCCTGTGCCCAGTTCTGTGTGTAAGTGACACCCCTGGGCCCTTTGGGACAGGGCAGTGGGTAGAGTGACCCTGGGCTCTGGACCTCAGCCTGACACAGCTGCAGCTGCTGCAGGAGGCCAGGAGGTGCCAGCGCCGCTCCTGGAGCGTCTCGGGACCCGCGTGGGGAGCTGGGACCCCGTGGAGCCCAGGCAGTGGGTGGCCTGGGTACCTTGGCTGTTCCAGAACAGCGTGGTCTCAGCGCTGGACAGCCTGTCGTCGATGGCTTCCAGCTCTGACTTGATGAGCGGGTACTCCACGTCCATCACCGTCGCCTTGATCTGCAAGACAAGGGCCTGTTCCTAGCCGAGCGGGACTTGGACCCCAGGAGGRAGAGACAAGGCGAGGACTCGGGCCTCTCCACACCCGGCTGGTCACCAGCATGGAGTTTGGGGGGAATTATATGTAACTTATGTTTCAGGAGATTTCGGTTTTTACAGTGATTTTGGTGACAAAGGATTTGCGTCACCGTGGGAAGAGATGCGCCCTGTGGTGTGAAGCCAGAGGCTGGCCTGCCCTAACTGTGTGTTAACTGTGCTTAAGTCTGGGCTAGGCAGCTTAGCCTCAGTGTGACCAAAACGACCAAGAACAACAACTTGGAGGAAGGAGGGTATATCTGGGGCTCAGCCTCAGTCCGTGGCCGGCCACTCCACTGCTCCGGGCCTGAGGTGAGGGGAGGGGCAGAGGAAAGCTGCTCAGCTCATGGCGGAGTCAGGAAGCAGGGGACCCACCTCCCCCAGCCAAACCCCAGCTGCCCAGTTACCACCAGCCAGTCCATTCAAACTAGGGTGGACCGACTAGACTGCAGCCTCACCGTCCACTCACTGCCCCTCTGAGGACTCCCGCAGGAACAGGAGCTTTGGGGGACACTTTGCATCCAAAGCTTAACAGAGTCTTAGAAAAATCCAGAGAAGTGCACGTGGATGACGGGAGCGTTTCTGGGCTCTGACCGCCACTCCCCTTCTCGGGGGTCTAAGTCTGGTTATGAACAGGGGATCCGGACCTGCAGAAAAGCTGCTCACATAGTTAGCAGACCCGGGTTTGTGCCAGGTGGGTTCTGTGGTCTTGATTCGGCTCTTCCCTGCTCAAGAAACTACCGAACACTCGAAACCCCAAATCCACAAAACAAAATCAGAACAAGGAAGAAAGGAAAGGAAGGCTGAACCCAGTTCTTTTGTTTTGTATTAAATATTTATTTTTTAGTTGTAGTTGGACAAATACCTTTATTTTATTTATTTGTACCTGGTGCTGAGGATCGAACCCAGGGCTTCGCATGTGCTAGGCAAGTACTCTACTGCTGAGCCACAACCCAGGCCCGTACCCAGTTCTTACAAATCATTCCCTTAAATGACCAGCGCCTCCCGAGTTTTGGAATAGCCTTTCATCCTGCAGCATTTTGCTTCACGTGTGGGTCTGAGGGAAGTGAGGGGTCACGCAGGGTTAGAACTGGACAGTCAGCAGGGCGCAGCGGAGCATACCTGTGATCCCCACAACTCCGGAGGTTAAGGCAGGAGATTCGCAAGTTCGAGGCCAGCCTCAGCGACTTAGGGAGGCCCTAAGCAACTTAGCAAGGCTTTGTGTTAAAAATAAAGAGGGGTGGGAAAGTGGCTCAGTGGTTAGTGCCCCTGGGTTCAAGCCCTGGTTCCAAAAACGAGCAAACAACAAAACACCGAACGCTGACAGTTTGCCYTTCAGAATAATGTTTTGCATAAACGTGGAACTTCAAATGGTGATCCCCTTGATGTCCCTAATGCTTTCRGGCCGTGAACTCTTAGAACAGGTGGGTAAGGACAGAGAAGCAAAGCTTCAAGGCCGTTCCCCGTGGAGGACCAGGCAGCGCTAAGAGGAGCGTCTGTGGGTGGCMAAGCAGGACTGTGAGCAGAGGCCACCCTTCAGGGCCCAGCTCCACTGCCCTCTGCCAGGACAGCGGCCGAGCTCTCACTGAGAAGAAGCGTCCGTGTGGGACAGCTAACACCCCTCCAGGGTTTGTAGCCTCAGCTCTGTGTGTGGCATTCAAGAAGGGGCCCTGATACAGAATTCAACCTGCAATAACTGGCCCTGGACCAGGGTGGGGGTGCTGGCTGATCAGACAGAATCTGAGGCCCATGGCCTGCAGTGGACCGGTTGGACATGGTGAGCTTGGCTGGCTCTGTTTGGAAATAAAGTAGCAGGTCGTCAGTTTCTTTATTTCATTTTAAATACTGTGGTTGATTTCCCCTGATTACACGGTCACTGTAGGAGACCTCTGGCCCCGGGGGAAGGCCGGGAACATTTCTCTGCCCCCTACTTGGCTTCTGTTTTCTCTGCACCTTGGCTGGGAGCTGCTCCAGAGAACCCAGGGAATGGTCCTGACGAACGTGGATTCAGGGCAGTTCCCTTCACAGCCCACAGCGCCCAAGGACAGTCCGTCCCACTTGACCTTGAAGAGCCGACATCAGCGTGCTTTGTGCTCAACACGTGGCAGGTCACCTTTCGGCCGTGGTTCATTCTGTGGCGGTTTCACGGTGGCTGATATTTTGACCACTCTCTGTGACAGCCATCCGCCAAGCTTCCTTCTGCCCTGGGCTTCCCAACTGCTCCCAAAGGCGCTGCCACCCAGCGAGAGCGGCTCCCTGGCTCCCAGCCGCCGCCTCCACCTTCCTGGTTTCTGGGGCACCCAGCGCAGTGCTGGATTGGGGGAACCGTCGAAACCTGGTGGTCTGTGGCCTCCATCTCCTCCACGTGGCATTTTGTCAGTGAGTCCCCTTGGGAGAGACATCCTTTATCTCACCATGTCACTGTTGCCACTCCTCTGTCACACAGACATGTGGCACCGCTCCATTTGTTGCTATGGCTCAGGCAAGGCTTAGCAAGGGACCCCACAGGGAGGGACAGGAAGTGGCCACAGAGAGGGGGCTGGGGCCGAAGTCCACGCGAGCGCCCCCTCTCCTGGGCACTGGTTCCTCTCGTCCCCTCCTTCTCTGCTCCTGCGTGCCTCCCAGGTGACAGGATGGGGGCTTGCCTCTCCCCTCCCTGGGCCCCAGCACGCACAGACACAGTGCTCTCTGGGACTCACTCCAGATCCCCAGGAACACAAGGGAGGGCATCTGTTTTGCTCCTTCGTGGTGAGGTGGTGTCCAGCCCCAGTCCCTGGGGGTCCTGGAGCTGTGGCCTTGCATGGCGGGAGAGGAATTGCAGGGAGCCTGTGGGGGGCTGGGCTGTCGGCGCCATATGCAATCTCGGGAGGGAGGCAGGAGAGCTGAGGAGGAGGCCCATGACAGGGGAGCAGAGCTGGAATGCAGAGCCTTGAAGCTAGGACGTGGCTGTCACCGTCAGTTTACCTGTCACTCGCCGAGCTGTGTGTAGGGGAGGCCCAGGTTAACACTGCATCCRGCCACTTCAGGATGGGATGAGCATTTGAGTGGAGGACTCAGGAAGCAGGGCTCCTCCCCAGCAGGTGGGCCTCATCTAACTTTGTGAAGGCCTGAGTGGTGGGTGCAGGGTGGTGGGCTCTGCCCCCTTTTCCTGGCTCTCTGCTCACCTGTGACATCGCCTCTGCTCTCCTGATGTTGGGCAGGATGGACATCACCTGCCCCCTCTCTCAGGCTCTGGGCTCACACTGAATCACCACGCTGGCCTTCCGGGCTCACAGCTCGCAGAGAGCAGGCGTGGGGAGTTCTTGGCCTCGGTCGCGACGGGAGATAATCCCTTGCCATGAATCTCAGGTCCAGCTCCCTGTCCCATTGCCCCTGCTTTCAGGAGAACCCTCCCAGGGGACCACTGGCCAAGCCACGTGGCCTCCCTTCAGTGCTGGAGAAGCCAGGGACTCACACAGTCTCCAGAGCCACCTCTGGCCAGCACCTCGACTCCTGCACAAGGTACAGGCTGTGGACTCCTGACCTCAGCCCCAGAAGACCAGGGGCCTGTGCTGTTTCAAGCCACCTGGTTCGTGGTGCTGAGCTACAGCAGCGACAGCAAACCCACACTGAGTTTGCACCTGGCCATCTGCTGTGGGGGCGGGGTCAAACCTGGGGTCCCAGGGGGCACCTGTGTTAGCTGTGCCTCATGGTGACAAGATGCCTGGGAAAAAACCAACTAAAGAATRTCTATTATTGTTGTTGTTATTATTATTGTTATTTTGTGGGACTGGGAATTGAACCCAGGGGTGCTCAGCCATGGGCTACATCCCCAGCCCTCCTGAGTTTTTGTTTTGAAACAGGGTTTCTCTATGTTGCTGAGGCTGGCCCTGAACTTGGCATCTTCCTGCCTCGGCCTCCCGGGCTGCTGGGATTACCGGCGTGGGCCACTGGGCTCAGAGGAAAGGTTATTCCAGCTTACRGCTCCTAGGGTTGCAGCCCTGGGTTGACCCAGCTGCTTTGGGCCCGTAGTGAGGCAGGAGGCTGCTCACCTCGTAGCAAGAAGCGAAGGGAGAGAGCAAGAGGCTGCTTCAAGGGCACACTCCGTGACCCAGCTTCCTTCCCATGGGCCCCACCTCCTGAAGGTTCCGTTCCCCCCACCCCCACTCCACCCCCATAGCGCCATGGGCTGGGGGTGTAGCCCATGGTTGACCAGGGGTTGCTAAGATCCAAACCATAATGTCCCTTTGCCACCCTGTGGTTGGGGTCTCTAAGAGAGGGGGTCCCCAGGACATGTTGCTCTGTGCCCTACCCCCAGGCCTCCCAGGCTCCCTCTGAATCCCTCTGGTCCTTCCGCCAGGAGGAAGGTGCTCTGGGCAAACAGCCTTGTCACAGCCCTGTCACCAGGAGGCACTGTCTGCAAGCCTGCCGACTACCACAATGGCAGCCTCTTTGTGATTGTGTGCCAGGGACCCAGGTCTGACATCAGGGGTCCAGGGATTCTTGAACACAGAGCTGCAGGTGGACTGGCCACGTGTCCAGGCACCTCCCCGCTGGCCAAAGCCCCGGGAGACCGACAGTCCCAGCCTGGGTTCCAGAAGCCCCTTCCTCCCCCAGTTTAAGAGAGGAATGGAGGTGCGTGGCCTTCACGTTATCCAGGAGGCGTTTAGGAGAGGAGAGCCTCTCGGGTGAAGCCCCGCGGGGGGGACTGCGCCCGTCACCAGCTGCTCCGGGTCCCCACCGTCCTTGCACACCTGACCGTGAGGGCTGGAACCCCGCGTGGTTGTGAAGACACACTGTTGGTCCTCTTCTGCGTCCAGAGCTCACCCCCTGCTTGCTCTCAACCAAAGCCGAGACTTGGCAGCAAGAGCACACGAGGTGGCAGCCTACCTCATTGTACCAGCCCACGATGAGCTCCAGGTTCCCCACGAACTTCCGGAAGGTCTCGTTTTCAGAGAAGAGGTGCTCTGCGCTGCCTGGAATCTCTTTTTGCTGCTGGAAATTCAAATACTTGACTTCTCTCAGGACGGCCACCAACTACATGGCAAAAGAGGATGAAAGACCATGTTAGCACGGAAGCTGGACGCAGCAGGAGCAGAGGGGCCCCGGGGGCATTGGCGGGAGGCCGTGTTGGCTCGCAGGTCAGGATGACTTCACCCTAACCGTGGGTCCCTGCCAGGACGCGCTGACACATCCCCACCTCCCTCCTCTGGCCTCTTCCTCCCCTCACCCACCCCAGGCTGTTTGGAGAAAGGCCTCGTTGAGGGCTTCACCTGGGTCCTCTAGGATCCTTCCCCTTCTCTTCCCACCTGGATTTGATGCAGGAGAGCGGGGTGACCCTGCCACTACTGCTCTGTCCCCCAAAGCCATCCCCATCAGGACTGGATAACACCTGCACACTGCTGATTCCATCCGCCATGTCACATGGCCTCCCAGCAGCGGGTCACTTCCACCATGGCTTCCAGGACACCAGACTGTCCTGGTCACTCTTATCACTCTCTTGAAAATCTGGGGATGTCCATGTTGGAGAGCCAGAGTGTGGTCCTTCTCATCTGGTCTCATCTGACCTCATGGCTTAAGATACGATCCGTGTGTCGATGAGCCCCACAGGGACGTCTCCAACCCCAGCTTCTCTCCCCACCTCCAGACTCTCAGACCCACTGTCAACATCTGCCCTCGAACAAACAGAACAGCCGAGCTTTCCCTCAGCCTGCTCTGCCTGCCTCTCATGGTCCAGGTCAGCTGATGGTCATTCCATCCTCTGGTCACCCAGCCCTAAACAGTGGCCCTGACCTCTCTCTTCCTTCCTACTCTGTATCCAGAACCTCGGGGCACCACCGTGGGATCTAGCCACTCCTCACCACCTGCCTGGCTGCCATGTGCCCAAGCCACCACCCTCTGGGCTGGGCTGTCATGTCCCACCCGCACTGCAGCAGAGGACTCCCAGGCTCTGCCAGCCCTCGTGGAGAGGGGTCTTTCACAGATGTAAATCAGGTCCAGCCTCTCTGCCATCTAGCTCAAACCTAACCCTATCTTTCAGTGGCTCCTGAGGCTTCTCCCTCACCTCTTCTCCACCGCCTCCCCTTTGTCCACTCTTCCCGACCCCACTGGCCACCTTGCTGGTCCTAGAGCATGCCCGACACACTCCCACCTCTGGGCTTTGCTGGACCCTTGGCTCAGAGGCCCTTGGCTGTACCTCTGCTTGGCCAGCCCCCGCACCTCTGGCAGACCTGGACCACACCTAACCTGCACCCCCAGCCCTCCTGTACCTCTTCCCAGCCCCCTCCTCTAGCCCTGCGGACCCTCTTCACTGCCCTCCCCGTGCACCTGCTGTCACGGGTTGACACGTGGGTGGTATCCCTGCCTCTTTGTGCTACTCCCTCCCTCTCTTCCCTCACGTTCCCTTCGCCTCTTGCAGATAAGCTCCAGGAGGGCAGGCAGAGACCTTTGATTCTCTGGTTTATTAATTTCCCCAAACACATGCACACAGTAGGTGCTTAGTAAATCTTTGTGGAATGAAAGAACCAACGGATGTTAGTGAAGGGGAGTTTCCCTGCCTCCCTGGTATTACCCCCTCACCCCGACAGGACGGGCCCCAGGCGGCCCCCGCAGGAGCTCAGCGCCCCCGCTTCTGTCCTCGGCACACCCAGGCTGACCAGGTCACAGCTCACTCGGGTGACTTCTCCCCCCACCCTTTTGTTAAACTTTCAAATCGACGTTTTTCTCTTGGGATCAAATGAAAAGTGACCAAGCTTTAAAGAGGGGCATTTTTGAAAGTCTTTTCAAGGACGCTACTCTTTTGCCTCGTATCTCAAATAGATCCTGGACATACTTAAAAATGCTTCAGAAATAAAGTGGCCACCGCCAATGACATCAACAGCAACCTTCACAAATGAACGCTGTTGGTGGGACGGGCCACCTCAGAGCCACAGTGGGCCCTGGGCTCCTCCTGTCCCCCCAGCCGGACCCCTAGCTCCTGGGTGACGGTGCCCCAGGACCCACCGCCTTGCTGAAGTTGACTTGGAGCAGGCCGGTGGTGGTGTGTCGCTGGATGAGCGGCTGGCCCAGGTTGAAGTGGCAGTCCTCGTCCACCTTGTCCACCCACTGCTTGTACACCTTCTCGCGGTAGCTGCGCAGCAGCTCCAACATCTCGTCGTATTTCTGGTAGATCATCTTGGTCTCCATGCTGGACATGACCCTGGAATCAGAGTTGGGTGGAGCTGGAAGTCACCAGGCTTCCCTGGGACGGCTCGTCTCTGCCAGCCTCCAGCTGAAGCACCAGCCAGCCCCCTGCTTCTTGGATGATGGGCTGAATGTTCAGGTGGACAGTGGCCAGACCCCGGCATACAACCAGAACTCGGCCCCACAATCTGTCACGGCCAGCCCAGGGAGCCAGCCCACCAGCTGAAGCCCCAAGTCCAGGAAGCCAACGGTAGCCCAGGTGGCAATCACCGCGGAAGGCGAGGGTTGGACGGATAACCGCTTCCCTAACCGGAGAAAAGCCGTCCTCAGATGACTGCTTCTAACCAGCTGTACCCCCACCCTGCGGCCACCCTCCACTGCAGCCAGCCTTAGAGCCTCTGCCAAGGGCAAGTGGCCCTGGCTCGGTGACTGCTTGGTCCTGGCCCACGGCAGAAATAGCCTCAGTGTGTTCAGTTTGGGCATCTTGGAAATCTCCCCAGGCTGGTGGTCAAGGGTGASGACCAGCCTGGGAGGGCCTTTGGGGAGGGGAGAGGCCTGCAGGGGCCTCTCTGGAACTTTGTTTTGGAAGTGAAGGCTGGTGGGCGGGCAGCCTGGGATAGCGTGGGCTCAGGAAGGGCCTCGTCCCCTGCGGTCGAGGCTGCCCGGGGCCTGGCCAGCTGGCACTCACGGGTGGTCGATGTGCTTCAGGTGCTTCATGGACACCTCCAGCCTCTCCTGCAGCCCCAGGCTCCACTTGAGCTGCCCGGCCACGGAGGGCATGTTCTTGTGGATGGGCGGGATGTTGCCCTCTGCAGACGCTGCCATCTGGGCATCGTACAAGAGCTTGGCATTGTCCAGCTCGGTATCAAACATCTCCAGCATGGTGGAGTACCTGGGCACCACCTCGGCCAGGATCAGGGGCCGCTCCAGGAGACTGCCGCACATGTACAGGAGCTGGGGAGACAGCAAGAGCACGTCTTCTCCAGAGTTCCCGTGTCTTGCCCTGTCCCCAGCCCAGGGTTGTTGACAAAAATAGGCAGGGCCAAGCTTTACGATCAAGAAAACACATACTTTGTCCAAGCAAAAAATCCATTTGGACATTTCTCTGCATCTGGTTGTGGCACCTGCAGGGTCCTGGGTTTCTGTTTGTGGAGCCCCAACGTGCTCGGCTGATAGACCAGTGTGCCTGCTGGCTCTGAGGCCCAGGAGGGCTCATCCCAGGCCAGGGGGACAAGGGTGTGGGCAGGGAGACGAGAACAACTAAAAACACAGGTCAACATGAACAGGGCCCAGGCCTGCACTCCTCTACCCGGGCAGCTCTGACGGCCAGAGGAGAGAGGCTTTTTCAAGGGTCCTTCCTCTTGGGAAGACCAGGCTCAGGCCAGGAAAACGACATCGACACCAGGAAATTGGTTTCACTCTGAAAAGCAGCAATGGTGGCGGGCGGGGGAGGGACGGTGAAGCGGGGAGGGTCCAGAGAGCAGGAGAAAGATGGCACACAGGGGYCCCTACTGTCTGGGCTCACCCAGCTGCCAGCGGCCACCAAGGACCCAGTGGGGCCCTGCAGGCAGGCCTGTGTGAGTCCCAGTCAGTCCCAGATTTGGGCTTGAAAAAATAACCACCACTGTCCCCCACAACGTGCTTTAGAATGGAAGACCTGAGCCTGAGGACACTCGGGCCAGCCAGGCCCTGCTCTCCACGGCCACCCACAGACACAGGTGGGCACCACCTTCACGTTTTAAAGAAGTCGACCTGTGACAGTCGGGGGCAATGCCACTCAGTGGCTCCTCCCCACCCCCTTATTTTCCCCGTTTCTCTTCCTTCTCTTTTGTGCTCACAGATTTTTTTTTTTTTTTTTTTTGGCTTCTGGCTTCTGGGAGGGAAGTCCATCTTATTTCCTTCCAGGAGTCACCTGCACCCACAGGTGTTCTTCACAGGAGAACCTGCACCCAGGCCTCGAGGGCACAGGGGAGTGGAGGGGCTGGAGTGGGGGCCCCAGGCCCACCCGGGCAGGGCACGGGGCCGTCAAGGGCAGGAGAAGGCTCTGTGTAAGATGCATGGGGACAGTTGGAGGCCGAGGCCTTTCTGACCTAGCACCATGATAAAGTGGAACTAGACAGTGACTTCCTATGAGAGCATGAAGCTGCGTCTGGGCCCTAAAGGGYGGGCGCCTCCTCCAGGCCCCAGGGGAAGGACAGCTCTCTGGTCATTCTGGGAACACATCTAGGCACCTGGCTGCTTCCGAGACCACCTGCTCCACACAGAGAAGGCCAGGACTCCTGGGTGTTGCTCATCAAGGTGACCCTCCCTTCCTCCCCGCCTGCCCACCCCAGGAAAAACGCCCCGGGCAGGGCTCAGCCTGCACCCGGATGGTCCTCCCYATCTGTTGCTCCTCTTGTTCTAAACCACATTTATGGGGGAGAAACCTCCGGGTGCCTTTGGGGCCCGAGAGACTCCCATCCAGGAGAGCGTCCTGCCCTGGCTGTGTGAGGGGAGCCGGCGGTGCCTGCTCCGAGTCACTCCACGCTGTGCAGATCAGCAGGGCCTAGCCCTTGGTCACCCCACGTTACAAAGCAACAGCTTGCCACGAGTCACTCCAGGCGACTCCCTTTCCAAGCGGAAGGGCTTGGAAACTTGTCGGGGCAAGTAGGTAGCCACCAGGTATTGGACATAACTCCAGCCGCCCAGCGCAACCAGAAGGCACAAACCGAAACAAGCTCATTGCCCCGTCGTCAAAGAATCAAATCAGAAGCACATGGGCGCCTGGCTGCATCGAAGCCACATCAGGGAAACGAGGCCCGTGAGCCTCTCAAACAAACCAGACCACCCGGTGATGCAGGCCCTCACCTAGGACACAGAAGAAGGGRCACCTTAGACGTGGCACTGGGGTCGGCGTGTGCCAACCTGTCATCCTTCAGACCGACCGCCTGGTGAACGCATCCCCAGATCCCCGGGACTGCAGCCCAGTCATGTCCTGAGTGACCTGGTCCACCCTGCCTGCTCCCCCAGCCCTGGCCTTGGCCCTGGCCGTGCTGCAGTGGCCGGTCCTCCCCATGCCTCTGGAGTTCTCAGGCTGGCTTCGCCTCCTCTGGCCAGCCGCCRCGGCTCTTTGGCACCTGTCATCCACGCCGGTCCTTCTGCATCCGCTGTGTCCCTGTGTCAAGTGGGACGTGGGACGTGCGTGTTGCAGACAGAGGAACTGAGATTGGAGTGGGCTGACAGAATGGGTGGTCGCTGTGGTCTCCATACCAGGGAACTGCGAGGACTCGGYGAATTAAACCCGGTGAGAGCCCCGTAGCTGGTGAACCATCGTGATTCAATAAATTCCCATGTCGTGGAAAGTCACAAAGGTGCCGAGTCTGAGCCTGTGTTGCTGGCCAAGCTCACGGGGGGGGGGGGGGGGGGGGGGGGATTTTTTTTCCTATTCCCTGAGCCTGTTTCCTCCCCTGTACACCGGGGAATAACTACCATAAGAGGGGACGTGCCAGCCGCCCGGCCGGCTCAATCCTGCGCTCTCCTCCTTGCCCTCTTGTTTTGGAGACCCCGACCTCGGGCTCTCGGCGTTAAAGGACCGACTCAGAGCCTCTGGGTTAGTAACTGGATGCGGCTGCACAGCAAAGCTCTGGGCCGCAGTGAGCCACCTCCCCCAGCTGCAGCCCTGGGCCACAGAACCGAGGCTGCTGTTGTGGGCTGGGCCTAAGTGACCCTCAGTCACACGCCTTCAGCAGGCAGGGGGCAGTCGTCCTATCCTGCTTGGGAGGTCAGGATCCCAGAAGGACGTCAACACACCACAGAACAGAGCGGCGGGGGTGGGGGTGCCCCAAGAAGGGAAGCCGGCTCTCGGCCTCCGCCAGTGAGAGGGAGGAAGGAGCCCGGGGGAGGAGGAGGAGGGAGGGGCCAGGTGGTGTTCGGAGGGAAGGAAGGACAGGAGGAGCACTCTAGGGAGAGGCCCAGGACGCGGCACGGTGATCAAGATTCTCTGGTGGCTAAACTCGAGCTGGCTCCCGAAGCCCCTCCTAGGCCACGTGTGCGTGTCCCTGTGACAGCAGCGTGAGCTAGACCCCATGTGTGGTGAGCGAGCAGCCCCCACCCTGGACATCCCATCAGGCTCCGCATCCTCCACCTGACCCCAGGTGGGGTCTGGTCCCCAGGCCTGGCTTTAGCAGGAATCCTGCTCAGGTGATTCGGACAGAGTCCCTTTCCCACCATGTTCCTTCTCTTAGTAGCTTTCATCTCCTGACCCCTCCTGCTCCTGGGCTGTGGGTTCCACTCACCCACGCTGTGTTCAGAGTTGACCCAATTTCTGTCCCCCACTGTCAGATCCTGTTGCAGGGGTCCCTGTAGCCATGGCTATGGGCCCCAGTGAAATCTGCCTTACTGTGATTTTAATTTTTTTTCTTTGACCACAGCATGAGACAGCACTGATTGGCACTCGGTGGTATTTTGCTTGGGGTGCCAACCATCCAAGACTTCATTGTATTTGCAGAGCTGCCAATGCCCACGCATCTGCATCTTTACAGAGGATGGTTAAAAGACAAAGGCACATCCTGGAGAGATGTTTGTGCTCAGTCAGGGGCAGGGGGCTTCCTGGGTCCCCAGCCCAGCTCCAGGAAGCCAGCCCTGACATGCCCTACAAAGATGGCCGGTCCTGTGGGCCCACGCAGCCAGGCTCAGAGCTGTGGCCCTCCCAGGCCCGTCAGGCCCACACTTAGGGAATCTCCCTGGTGCAGTGTTAATCAGCCTCCGATACGGAGCTCCAGCAAAGGGCAGTGTGACGTTTTGAGGAACCTAGGATTTAGGGGGATTTCCAGTGCCATCTGCAGCTCAGAGAGAGAAGGCACGAGAGCCTGAGGATTCTGAGACTGACCAGACCCCCAGAAAGCACCTCGAGATGCCCCGGCAGTGTCACCCCACAAGTGACGCCTGGCCAAGTCTCCTTCAGAAGAGGAGCTGGGAACCCCCAAGCGGGTCCTCGCTCTGCAGTGGCCACATCCTCCCTCCAGTGAGTATTCCCGGCTTTTCTAAAGGAACCTCTGCTGAGAGGTACTGAAATTCTTCTCTTCATGTGTATCAAGGACCCCACCACTCCTCAGTGGAGACATGGGGACACGGGGGTGAGGGGACTCTGGCTGGGAACCCCTGGGGACCCTCTCCTGGAGAAAACTCTTCTCCATGACAGAGAGCAGAGGAAGACAAATGCGCCCCCTGAGCATAGATCTGAATGAACCCTTCAAACACACGGAGAGAGGGACAGAGACTGGACGTGGGGGAAACCAGACCACAGGCCTTCAAGAGCAAACGTCAAAACCGKCACGTTTTGTTAGAGTCACAGGTCTGGGACGACTCGGTGACCTCAAGTTAGTTCCAGAATCCGCCATGCTCSAGACTAAAGAACTACCCGAGACCCACCTGCCTCAGGCAGATGCTATCCCCACAAAAGATGCTCTGCAGACGTCAGCAGCCCTGGGCAGGCAGAGCCAGGCGCAGGCCTCACCTTCGGACATGCGGCTTGGTGCTGGGTACCTCCCTCCCCGTCACACTGCCTTTCTCTGGAGGCAGCAGATCAGCCTCCGATCAGCCCTGAGCCGGGCTCCTCGAGTGCCCAGCTGGGAGTCTGAAGGAAGGGGTCTGGCTGCGCCTCTGTCCTGCTGGCTGATGCGGCCCAGGCGGGACTCACGGTGGGCAGCGCCCAGCTCCTCACTCACCTTCGCAGAGGACTCAATGGAGCTGCAGTCGTCAAACGCTTGGCAGAAGATCGTGGCCAGCCTCCTGTCCAGATCTTGGATTTTCGTCTCAAAGTCGGCGTAATCATTGTCAAAACTCTAGAAGAAAATGGTGGGTAGTCGGCTCGCGAGGCCGGGCAGTGGGTGGAGCCTCCCCCTGGTGAGAAGGTCTCGKGGTGAAGTGCAAGCCAGGATGCCCCTTGGTGTGGGTCTGCTCCTTGTGTGGTTTGTGTAACACCTTTTTCTTTTTGGGGGACAGTACTGGGCACTGAACCCCGGGCCTCCCGCCTCCTAGACAAGTGTGCTGCCTCGGACCCATATCCCCAGGTTTTTTTTTTTTTTTTTTTTTTGACTTTGAGACCAGGTCTCACTGATTTGCCCTGGCTGGCCTTGAAGCTCACTCTTCCTGCCTCAGCCTGAGTAGGTGGGACTAGAGGTGTGTGCCACCGTGCCCAGTTCCTTGACGACTTTTAAGGTGGTGGACTGCAGGTGGCCTGCTTCCTTCACACACCTTTCTGCTCCTTGGGCCCAAGCGCACCCGTCCCTGCCCGAGGACTTACTGAGTCTCCAGGGTCCAAGGGATCGTATTTGCACTCGGCAAAAACCTTCACCAGCTCAAAGACCTCGTCGTAAATCTGAGTCACCATGCCCCCCAGGATGTTGCCCCGCACGCCCCCGAGCTCGATCTTCTCCAGCTTCAGAAACTCGATGGCAGTTTTGTAGAGATCCTGGTGGGGAGAGGGAGACCCCCATGAGCTCAGTCCTCCATCTCCAGCTGAACTCCAGGGTCCTGTGACTCAGCTCACTCTGACCCTAGCAGGGAGGGCCAGGGACCAAAACACCCTGGTGACAAGAGCATCGGGGCCTGTGTCCACCTGTGTGATGGGCTTTGAAGCTGTTTTTGGAACAGAGAGAGAGAGAGGGAGAGAGAGAGTCGGAAGGAAGGGGTCTGTGCATCGTCTGCGTGTTGGGAATGCCGACAAGCAGGGGGAGGTGAAGTCTGGGGTCTGGTCCTGACCGTTGCTGGTGGAACACGTCACTCAGTCAACAGCACTGTTCAGAGACCTCCGTCTGCCCAGCCTGGGTGGCTCCTGAGGCTCCGCCCGCTGAGGCTCTCTGCTCCCTGGAACCGTCCACACTGAGCAGCAGCAGGTGGCCCTGGCAGGTGTGCACATCCCTCTTCCTCTGCGGACTTCTGTCTGTGGACCTGCCCCTTCCCGAGGCCTCCGCACCTGCCCTTCCCCGCGGCCTGTGTCCTTTCTGAGTCTGGTTCCCTCTCTGCTCTCTGCTTTGCATCTCACCCACCCTAACCCTAACCCTAACCTGTTGGCTGCTGCTTCTGCGTGATGTTCTTGTTTCCTAAAAGAGGTCCCCAAGGTCCCTAAAGGACACCCAGGTGCCAAGCCCAGGGCCAGGCAGGGTTTAGAACGCAGATGCTCCTGTGGGGTTGGCGTCACTCCCCTGGGGGTGCTGCAGGTTGCTGGGGCCGCCCTTGACCCCAAGAGGCCTAGGATGCACCAACCACAGGGCCACAGGGAACCCAGGTGAGCAGAGAGACAGCCATGTCATCTGCTCTCAGGCTTYGACGGCCAACATGGAGGACAAGGTAGGTGAGGCTGGCCCGACTGGCCTGGACAGTGAAGCCCTTTGCCCCACTTCCAAGACCTCCTCACCCCCAGAGCCTTCATCCTGATTCAGAATCTGCGACACAGGAACCCACAGCCACCCGGCCAGATCTCCATCTGAATGAACACCCGGGGATTTCCACCCCGCGCTCTCAGGGGGCTTCCCCGTCTGCCTCCCAGAGGCGTGGCTGAGAAAGGTCAGCGCTTTCCTAAAATCCTATAGTTAACGCTCAGTGGTTCCAAGATTACTCCCTTCCCCATTTTTTGAGTCACATGTGCACAGTTAAAAAAAAAAAAAATCAGCCATGCAGAAGATGGCAAAGCAGTCAGCCAAGCCTCCTCGCCCCTCCATCTGGACCCTCTTTCCCCAGGGAGAGCCATCCTGGCCCACTTTTAGGCTCTCATCTGCTGTGGGTCACTCTGCGGGTCCACYGGGGCCTCTCAAGGCTTCCTTTGTGATGATTTAGTCACTACCTGCCCTTGTCCTCCAGGCTGCCTGACTGTGGCCATTGAACTTGTAGCTACCTGCTGGTGGAGTGAACTCAGGGCAGAAGCAACCCAGTGGGTCATTTCTGACCTTGGCAGACAGGTCCAGCTGCCCCCAAGCCTGGGTTTCTCCTCTCCCCAGGACACAGACGACTGGTCTTCCCTTGTATTTTCCTTACTGGCAGACTGTTCTGGATATTTTATTTTTTATTTTTTGCAATTCTGGGGGTGGAATCCAGGCCCCCCCACATTAGGCAGGTGCTCCACCACTGAGCCACCTGGGGGCCATTCTAGAAAGGCCAGGTGGGAAGTCGAGGTGAGGCGGAACAAAGCTTCATTTTTACCTCGATGGTCTGGATGCGGTGGAAGAAAGAGTTCATTCTGGAGAAGGCGAGGGAAGATGGGAACTCCCAGGGCACGGGGTCCTTGTTCTGGGGGGGGGAAGGAGAGAGAGGGACGCCGTGTTTGCTTCAGACGCCCACCTACCCGACTGCCGGCCGGGGTGCGGTCGAYGTGGGTGTTCCCAGGGTGACCTGCCGGGGCGGGGGGCAGTACCTTGAAGAAGAGCTTCATGTTGGAGMAGCAGAAGTCGTAGGCCTGGAAGACCCGCTTCAGGACGTGCACCGACAGCGAGATGCCACTCAGSACCTCCTCGATCTCGCCCTGCAAGCCCTTTAGGACCTCCTCGGGGCTCAGGAAGGTCCGCGTCTGGACAGGACAGAAGACAGACTCCTGGAGAGACGCTCAGGATGGGGAGCCATCCCCGCGAGGCCGGGGGTCTGCTTCTTCTGACGGGGGACTGTCGCTTGGGCACTTGGCGCCACCCAAATGCCAACTGCTGAGCCATTTTCAGGGGACTGAGTGGCTTCCCATACTTGTCCCCTCAGCCTGTGCCAAAGCTGCAGTCAGAATGGATTGGGGTCACAGATGACTAGGGACCCTCCGGGAGCGAGGACTGCAGGCTGATCTGCAGGCAGCCTAGGGCTGCCGCCTTCAACCCAGCACTGATGACTAAGGGCGTGTGTTGAGGGACACAGGAAGTGCCTGGGTCTTGGGGTGCAGGCTCCCTGGGTGAGTCTCCTCCTGCAGTGGAGTGGGAAAGGTACTTCCCAGGCTCTGGGAGACCTCCAGGTGGCCACCAGAAGGACCCAGCCTCAGGATGCTCAAGCCAACATCCCGGCCCTTTCTCGGTGGCTGGGGAACGGAGAGTAAGGGGGCCAGGCCCGGCCGGGCGGGCAGGCGAGGCTCACCATCTCAATGATCTGGTTGCACAACTCCCGCAGGATGACGATGACCCTGGAGGGCGTGTTGTAGTGCTCCGAGGTGGCCCAGATGAAGGCGATGGTGTCCAGCACCTTGGCAATGAAGTTCGGGAGCTGGAGAGAGACGGCACAGGCACCCGGGGACTGGCTTTGTCATACTGCCCCAGCTGGCACTGGGCACCCAGGGGAGGGTCCCAGAGGACCTTGTACATCTGTGACAGAGAGAAACCTGCAGCCCCCTGCTCCCAGGACACAGCCCCCATCATCACACACAGCGTGAGCTTCCCCTGCCAACACACCACCGAGAAGTCGGCCTGTTCCATCTCCTCCAGCGAGATCCGCAGGGGCTTCAGGTAGAGAACGATGTCGTTGGCTTCCTTCAGCCCTGAGTGGAACAGGAACAAGCTCTGGTCATGGGGGGGGGGGAATCCCTTCAAAATGGCACCGTGCCAAAATGGCTGGGCTTCCTGAGACCTGTTCCTTCAAGAAACAGGATCATTCTTGGAAGGAGAGGGCTGGAAAAGCGGCTCGTGGGGGAGATGGATGCCCTCTGGAGTTGGTGGKCAAGGGACCTGTCCAGCCCCTCCCAGGAGGCACGGCTGGCTTCCTCGGGGAACTCACGGGAGGTGTCCCGGGCTCACCTTCGGTGACGTTCATGTAGACGTTTTGCAGGGCCGGCCAGTAGCAGCTTTGGGCTTTCTCCAGGATCTCCACTATTTTGTTCACTTTGGGCCTGTTGAGCTGAAAGGACAGAAGATTCGGGCCCCTCAAGTGAACTTGCAGACCCTAAAATGAGGGCAGCCCGACTTGAGATGGCTGGAGAGGGGGACTTGTGCAGGTCTTGGGAGACTCTGGGCAGTCAGCGCTGAGGGGCTGAGCACCAGGCCGAGCCACCCAGCAGGGACTGGGCCATCGCAGCCGAGCAGAGGCCCTACCTGCTCGTGGATGCACTTGAGGTTCATCAGCCGGGCGTCCCAGAACTGGAACTCAACCTGGGGCAGGGGGTTCAGCCCGTCCAGGAGGGCCTGGGCCGAGTCCTTGCTCAGCACGTCCCGGATCTGGTGGGACCAGTCGATGATAATGGTTTCAATGGCRTGCAGGAGGGAGTTGTCCGGGGAGGAGAGGATCCTGCCAGGCACAAGGGAGGACCATGCTCTTCCGGCCACACACCTGCCACAGCCTCCACCTAGCCTAGCATCCACCTCTGGACCCCCCTGCTGCCTCTTCCTGTCCCTCAGCACTGAATCCTCAAGCCGAGCAYGCTGGCTCCCGGCCGTGTGGACGCTGAGGCTTCGTTCATGCGCATGTGCGGATGGCACTGGGGAGCCACAGTGTGTGAAGGGGTGGGGAGGTGGGGTGGCTGGAGTCGGAATCCCAGGGATTCCTGTGCTCTTCCTTCCCTGCCCTGTGCCATCTACCCGACTTGGTGCCACCCAAGGTGCCCTCCTGTCCTTGGGTGTTTCAACAGCTGCAAAACACAAAACGCCTTTGCCACRAAGCGCTTCCCTGGCCCCAGCTCAGGCGCCTCCCGTCCGGCCAGTACCTYTCCATGGACTCCAGAGCGCCGTCCAGGTTCTCCAGGTTCTCTGGGATGGGCAGCAGGGTCTTCCCTTTGATCTTGCCGCCCATCACAAACATCTCGTTCTTGAGCTTGTGGACTTGCTTCACGATGTCTTCCGAGACCACCCGGGGCCAGCCTTCCATGTTCTCGCTCTGGTTGAGCAGAGAGTAGAGGACCTGCACRGAAAAGCTGCTGTCGCTCACCCCAGCTGCCCCAGGAGGCTGGGCCTCAGCCCTGGGGAGACGGAGTCCTCCACACCAGGCAGCGGGGGCCATGGGTCGTTTGACCTGGCAGTGACAGCCCAGCTGCCTGGTCTTTGCTGTGGCAAAGCCACCTCCAAAAAGGGAGGCCCACCTGGAAATGGTAGCATCTTGCTGGAAGCACTGTTCCATGTCGTCCAGAATTGCAGAGACGGGCTGAGCTGTGTGCCCAAGTCTAAGGCAGAGTCCCACCCCCAGCACTTTGGGATGTGACCGTAGCTGGATATAGGGGCCTTTAAAGAGGTAATTAGGGATAAAATGAGGTCGGCAGGGTGGGCCCTAAGGTAAGAGGACTGGTGTCCTCACGAGAGGAGATGGGGACGGAGGCAGGCAGAGAAGGATGACCCTGAGAAATAGGGCAGAGGTGGCATCTACATGCCAGAAGGTGTCAGGAGCCACCAGCCAGCTCTGCCCCTCAGAGCACCAGTCTTCAGGACCACGGTAGAGCGCGGCCTGCTGAGGCCCAGCCCAGGTGCGCCATGCGCTGGCCCTGCTGCCTGGGACAGGGACCGTGCACTCCCGTCGGGCCGACTGTGCTCACGACTCTTGGACTCGAGGCTGGSAAGCCCTGTCCATCACCTTGTTCTGGGCCCCGCTGAGTGGCCACTGGGCATCTTATTTTCCCTTGACTGGGCACAAGGTGGGACCCAGGTTCTCATTCTGCAATGACTGTGGCAGGTCTGACCCCCAGGCATGCSCCGTGCCATACTGCACCTGCTAACAGGGCCAGGGAGGCTGCAGGACGGYGGCAGAGGGGTACAGAAGATGCCCGCCCACCCTCCTAACCCAGAACGGGGAGACCTTCCTGCTGGTACTTGGTGGCCCACTCTAGGGGTCCGGCAGACTCTAACGTGGCCTGGAGAACCAGGTGGTGGGCAGGGCTTCTCAGACTGCACCACCCAGTCCTGTTAGGATGCGGGTCAGTCTGCATTTCTGACCAGTTTCCAGGTGCGGCCGCAGTGTCTCTGGGCTCCTCACTTCGAGTGTGAGGGACAGACTGTCCCTCCTGAGCGTGGGACCCAGCCCCTCCCGGCCTCCTGGACACACGCACCTCTTCCACCACGGCGATCAGCTGGTCCACGGGCAGAGGGCTTATGTCCCCATAGAGCAGGTTCGTCTTGTAGTTGAGCTTGTTGATGCTCTCTGACTTCGTCTTGATAAAGTAAAGCCCCTTGGTCTTGAGGGACTCTGGGAAGCCCAGGCAAGGGACGATCATGCCGGTGGCATTGAGCGTCAACACCAGCACRGTGACTTCTGGCTTTTCAAAGAACTCTGTGAACAAGGCCAAGTTCTCCTCGGCTCCCATCAGCTTGCTCCACTTGTCGGGCTTGCACTTGAGGATGAGGGAGGCGATTTCCTCCAAGTACTCGAATCTGACGTCGGGTGTAATGGTCATCTCGGTCCTGGCTCAGGCCTCTGGCCTCTTCGCGGTGAACAGACAGGTGTCAGATGCGCTCCCRGGCCCYCACTGCCCTCCCCTCGCTGGGCCAGCCGAGTTCTCCCACCAGCCCACGGAGCCTGGTTTAGCTGTGGATGGGCTGTGGCGGGGGACGGGCCAGGAAGGGGTGTCCGGGTGCTGTGGCTGGACACCGGGCCTGGCCCTGCTGTGGGGTGTCACCAATGGAGTAGTGTGTGCTTGAGTCCCTTGTGGCCATCAAGTTAGTTGGTTAAGAAAGACACAGGAGGTGACCTCCCCAGACATTCTGAAGGCACGGGGGGAGGAGAGGACAGAGGGTGGTGGAAAGGGCCCAAAGAAGGGACAAAAGACACCTCACCCCAGTGCTTGTGAGAAGCAGAGGGGAGGTGCGGCAGACCACATGCCGGGTGCGGAGTCCAACTGTCCCCATGGGACCCCAGCCGCAGTGGGCCCAGCTGTGCCCTGTTCTGCACCCTGTCCCTTTGGACCCTGGAGCCACTGTTCAGATGCCCAGGGGTGACTCCCCTGTGGCTCTTCCTTTAAGAGGGTACTAGAGAACTGGGGTGAGGGAGCTCCTTAAAGAACCCACTGGAGGCCCAATGGTGAGACATCCAGGGCCCCACTGTGAGCACGGTGTCTAAGGAAAGGCCAAAGCTCCCGGGCATCAACATATTTAGTATGAAAATATTCTTAAATATCAAAATTAGTGCAAACCAATTCATTTAAAAATATCAGCATTTCCAGTAAAGGGGCTGGGTTGGGGGTGCAGGGAGGTGAGGTCTGCAAGGGCAGAGTGGGGCCTGCCCTGCACCTGTGGACGGACAAGGAAGTCTGCCGCAGTCTTTCCACAGCAGTGAGGGGCCGTCAGCCCTCGGGGGCCTGGGGCCTGTGTTTGCTCTCTTGCAATTGCCACAGTGCAGCTCTGACAGGTGGTGGTGGAGCCCTCAGATCCGGGCCTTCTGTTTGCCCAGAGCTATTGGTTTCGAGACCGTTACTGTCTGCAGGTGCGGACAGGCCCACGCTATGCAAAAGGGGGTGTTTCRCTCAGCTCCTGCCTCGCAGAAGACAACTGTGTCATAAGGGGCAGGAGGAGGCTCTTCAAATGGCCTGGGGTTTGCGTCACTGTGAGAGAGCACAGAGCCACACACAGAAGCAAAGCCCCTCCRATTCAGGCCCACCATGACCAACAAGGCCGGCTGCGTAGGAAGAGCCACACGGGGCACTAACGCACCACGTGCCATCTGTGCGAGGCCCAGGAGGGCTTTGTGCACGTTGCTCAATTCCTCTCCGCTGGCCTTGGAGACAGAGTGGCAAAGGGAAGTTGGGGGAGGCCCCTCCCGTAAGTCTGGCCACGTTGGTGGTGCTACTGGGGTTGGAGGGATGTCCTCTGGCTTTCTGATTTCATGGACTTGGACTTTGACAAAATCAACTTTTCTTCCAAGAATGGGATCAGAATGGGGTCCCTCTCCAGCTCTTCTCTGTGTGGTCCCCCAAGTCCCTCTCCCAGTCAGSTGGTCTCATCCCAGACTGCTGGCCTGCCATCCCCTGGGGCGCAAACCCACAGGTGGCAGTTAGCAAGCAGGGCAGTCTCCCCTCCCGGGACSGAGGCTTTGGGAGGCAGGCCGATGTGGCCATCTTGGGGGCAGGAACAGCTTCTCAGGGAGGTGGTTTCTGGGAGGAGCCAGTGGGTGGAGGCGCGCCTTGCTTTAGAGCGGCTCAGGGGGGGGTGCACTCGGGATCCAGAAAGGGCCTGGGCAGGTGGTCGGCAGCCTGCAGGTGGAGCCAGACCCCTGACCAGCTCCAAACAGGAGCAGGGCCTCTGTGGGGGAGTGGGGTCTGCTGCCCTCGAGGGCCTGGGCTCCTACCCTGTGCCCCGAGGTCCCTCAGCTCTCCTAGACCACCTAACTGCCCGTGGCTGCTCACCAGCTTCTCACAAACGTTTGCTCCYGTCACACGCAGGACCAGCCTTTCCCCAAACCAGGAAAGAAAATGGCTCCCGTCCCTCGAGGGGCTTCAACTGTCACAGAACTTCTGGAAGTCTCAGGTCACCTGGGGCTTCTAGAACTTTCTCTTYAGGACCCAGTAACCAGTGGCAGTGCAGCAGACGAGTGACCAACCATAGCCCACCTGACCCCCCAAGCAGCTTCCTCAAGCCCATACGGGGGACAGTGGTACCACAAAATGACCACTCAAGGTCCAAGCCTCAGCTGGCACAGATAAAACCCCCAGTGTGCGCACCCYGATGGGACAACCAACACAGACCATCGACCGTTCTCAATTATCTGATTTCTCTCACCAATTAGGCAAGTCTGGGAGTCCAGTCTGCAGTGGGAAGGAATGGAATAGATCCCCTGGACTCCACGTGTCTCTGGACAGCTGTGGGACCTGCCCTGATGTTGCGGCCGCAGGATCGGCTCATGGTGAGAGCATCTCAACTGTGTTTCTGTGCGCGAGGATGAACGACYTTCTCCCGGCCCCTGCAGGACCCTGCTCCGTGCACACGCACACCTGCCCGCCTTCTCCCTCAGGATGGAAGCTGCATCTCTCTCTGCAGCACCACGTGCTCCCGGGCAGCACCCGGCACAGCTGCTCCCGTCCACCACACCACCGACCGTTAGGGGCGCCCACCTCCCGTGTTAGGCACCTGGGAGGACGGGTGCGTTGGCTCCTGTGGCAGAGCTCGGGCCCCTGGCCCCTTGCTGTGGGGCCGTGGGGGAAGGTCAGAGCTGCTCACCTCGTGGCAGCCAGGAAGCTTAGGGACAAGATATAGGCCCGGGGACCCCCTCCCTTAAATGAAGTCCCGCTCCCATAATTTCCACCACCTCCCGATGACCCGTTCCAACGACGACTCCATCCGTGGATGAATCCAGCGGTGAGGTCAGAGCCTCACCCCGTCACCAGCCAAAGCTCCACCTGGAACCCTGATGTACTGGGGACCAAGCCTTCAACCCACGAGCCTCGGGGACGTCAAGACCCAACCCATGACACTCCCTCATTCCCGGTGCCCACCCTCTTTGATGAGCATGGTCCCTCCAGAGTCGGCCCCTGTGGCTGACCAGTGCAGGCCTTCAGTGAAGGCCACTGAAAGAGCCAAGGCTAGACGTCCTGCTGAAGGGAGTCCGGGACAGCGCCTCCCACGCCGCATCTCCCCCACGGTGCGTGGCCTTGGAAGCCTGCCTCCCTCGGAGCCCGTCACTGTTACGGGGAAGAGGGACACATGGGACCGCAGACTGTGCTGGTCCCACTTCCACCCAAACTGCACTTCCCCAGACTTCTAAGTCCAAGAGCCCCAGACGCCCAGGACTGGACCCCTAGTGGTGAGGTGGCAGACTTGGGAGGGAGCGGGACAGGGCCCTGTGCCTTCTGTTGGAGGTAGGAGTTGGGGATATACAAAGAAAAAGCCAGACCGAGTCTCAGGAGGAGTGGYCACGGCTGCTGGGCTGCAGGGAATGCCCATGAACCCACCAAGTGCAGGTGGCCTCCCTCAGCCACCTGCCTGCACCCTTAGCCTGCGCCCTTGACCCTGACCCTTGCTGGCCAAAGGTAACAGGAGGGCAGTGCCCCTGCATGAGGGAAACCGGCCCCAAGCTCTCAGCTCTGCCTGACTCCTCTGGCCCGGGCCCCCACTGCCCTCTACCAATATTAACAGCCAGACCAGGCCCTGGCCGTCTCCCCCTCTGGACCCGGGCCACACACCCCCCCTTGAGTGTGTGCTGCTGACTCTGCCCCCAGAGACGCCTCTGCCCCAGACCCACTTTGCCCTCCCCTGCATGTCCCTCTGCTCTCCTGTACGTGACAGCCTCGTCGGTCCTGAGTGGTGGTGACCTCTGCTTCCCCACTCCATGCTCGAAGATGCAGAAGCACCCCCTTTTCTAGGGCACCTCGACCTCTCCTTGGGGACACACCCTCCACACCCTGGCAGAAACCCCGGGCCCCAGGAAGAGGCCAGAGCTGCGTGTAGGGAGCTGGGCCATCTACCTTCTAACTGGGTGACCAGTGGGACAGAGTGATGGCTCCTGCCAGGGTCACAGCTGGGCTGTCATTCACTCCCTTCTTTGTGTCTGACATCATGGCCACATGGGGCAGAGCAGCTGAAAGGGCCCCCTGCCTGCAGCCCGGTCACTCTCCTGTGCTGAGAGGACTTGGAAGGCCAGTTCCATAAAGACACCCCCGTCATTAAGGAGGACGGCAGGACAATCTTCCCCTGYAGCGTCTGCTCGCGGTCAGCGGGGGCCGGGCCATCTGGGTCTCCTTGGCTCCTTCTGCAGCTTCCCTCTGTCGGTGTTGGCCAGGCCACAGGTCCTCATGCTGAGTTGGAGACCTTCGTCCTGTCCTTGCCCCTGGCCTTGGGCTGAAACGGGGGCAGAGCTGAAGCAGCCGGGCGGCTCGGCAGGTCCCCTTCCCTTCACGAAGGCCTCACAGACTTGGTCCGCACTGCTGCCACGGGAGGCCCAGCTCAGGTCCAGGACAGGTGACGGACAAGGTGCCCAGTGGAGGGAGGGTCAGTGACRGAGTGGTGAAGAGGAGACACGGGTCCTCCCTCGGGGCAGGCCCAGGACTCAGGGGGATGGCCAGGTGTCTAGGGTYGGGGTGACTTGGCAGGATTCTTAGCTAAGACAGGCAGGGCCAGACGAAGCCCGAGGACGGGCCTGGTCAAAGCAGCCCAAAGGAGTGCGCTGCGGTCCAGTTCAGCCTCAAGGAGGGGGCAGGAAGGGCTGTCCCCCAGGCCGAGGGTGCCCCCTCCCCAGGGTGTGATCTGCTGGGGTGGGGGCTGGCACCTGCATCCTCAGGCGTCAGTGGGACCCTCTGCTTCACGCTGGGCCTCTGTGGCGAGAGAAGAGGTGGTCCTGGTGCCTGTCACTCCTGCCAGCTCCCCGTGTCCATCAGACCTGGCAGAGGGAAGAATCTGCCTCTGACCACTGAGGCCTCCAGCCCAGCACTCAGGGCCTGCCGTCTTTGGTCCCCAAACCTTCCTGTCC